GAGAAAAAGGCCACACACACACATACACTTACACTTGATGATGTAGAAACATAAACTCCAGCAGGTAGGTTCCAACAAGCTTCTTCTTTTAAGCTTCTCTTTATACATACACGCGTTCACACACATTCAAAAAGTGGGTGGATAGAAACAGATTCCACCATCACCAGCTACTGCAATGCGCACATGCGCACACACACACATACATTTGATGGATGGAATAAGCTCCAAACCATCTTTTTATTCTTCTTGTCATAGTATATATGACAAGAAGCAAAATCTTTCAGGCGGAAAATAAATCACAATGTGCTTACATTCTATTTTTCTTTAAGTAAACAATTACAAGGAGTATATGTAAGAAAAACATGTTCTCCAATACTCAAATGATCACATTTTTTTACATATTATGAATAAAAAATAAATGTGAAAAACTAGTTGTTGCCAAGAGCCCATATATATTTGCAACAATTTGTTATATATTAACAGACTGTGAGCAAGCAAGGTAATTTCTCAGCCATTTTTCTTTACTGGCAGGCTGCAAAAAAGAAAGAATCAATTATCTTAAAAGGTTATCTTATGGGGGCAAGATGGCAGCGCCGGGAGGACTCTCATTCTGAGGAGCAGCACAGCAGGATTGGCACAGTGACCAGCAATCAGAACTTGCGGCCATAAAACACAAGTGGCTGTGTTTCTCAGGTGAGAGGATACCCCACGGTGGGGGGATTCGATCAGCTTTAACTCACCTGGCTAAACCGCGGAAGAGATCCCCGTTCCGCCAGGCGCTTGGTCGCCAGCCCAGAGCTACCCGCCAGCGCGATCTGGTCACGGTCCCAGACTGAACTGTGGGCCCACAACACCATAGACTGGATTTCCCAGTCGAGAGATAACCCCACGGAGCAGGAAACAATTGGGACCAACCCCAGGTTACCCAGACATCCCCTGGAAAAGACTCGGGTTCCGTGGGTGCCCCAGGAGCCAGCCCGGACCCAGAGCCGGGAGGGACAAAGGCGCCTACACAGAGCCCTGCCTGCGCGCGTGATTCGCCGCCTCAGATAGAACTGTGGGCACCAGGGCAACAGGGCACCAGACTGCGTGTCTCTGGCAGGAGGAAACCCCCAGCGGAGGGGGTCAGCAGCTCTAACGCTTAGGACACCCAGCACCAAAACACTTCCTGGACTCACGCAGACTCTAGTGCAGGCAGAA